GGGAAGAGGGGCTCACGGCTCAGGCGAGAAAGCCCGCAAGAGGAGAGCGCGCGGTGCTACCAGAGTGCCGACGGATCTGGCGGACAGAGACACGGACACCGCAGCCAACGCCGTGCCCGCAGCGCCCCGTCGAGGGCACGGCAGACGTTCAGCAGACGCACAGCAACAGGGAAAAAGCACAGCCCCACAAACCCTTGTTTTGGGATATCGCCGAAGCGCGTTATTTTAATTAGAAAGCCACAGGAAACCTTGAGCTGCTTCAGTCCAACCTCCAGCGTAAGCAGAGGAAGAGGAGACGGGTACCTAGGGACACTTGGGTTACCCTGCCGTTTCTGAGACTACACGGACTTACTTGAGGTAGGTGAGGTGTAGCTCTGCTTCTTTTTCTGCTTCTTCTAGTTTCAACACCAGCAGCTCCTTCCGGCTCTCCAGGGACAGGATCTAGCAGAGAGAGGCCCCACGTGAAGAGCAGTTTTTGTACTCCCTTGTTTCTTGCTGCCAGACCGCGACCGTAATCTCTTCACGAAGCACCACACCAAGTTACTTAGTCCCGACTAACATTTACTGCACTGATATTTGCTTCTCCCTTCTCTCGTCCCACGGAGAGGGGGACTTAGCCTCATCCTCAACTGCTCCTAACGTCACACAAGCGTTCATTACGACCTGGCACCTTACAAAGACTCTCTTCAACAGCTGCTTCGCAGGTTAGAAGTCACCTAAAGTCACCTACTGACCTCCGCTTTCCAGGCCCGTTCTGTCTCCTCGAGAATGTTCCTGTTGATTTCATTGTGCTGGTTCTTCAGCTTATCTAGCTCCATCTCCCATAGCTGCCTGCAGACAGAAACAGAACGAGCCCGCTTAGGCTTAGGCACCGGAACGGCGCGGAACGGGAGAGCTGGCAGGCTCCCACAAAACCGATCGATCCTGGTAGCTCTGGATGGGGTGGAGCCGTGGAAGATCGACAGCTTCCAGACTGTGACACCAGCCACAGTTCCCAAGGCTGCATGAGTCACCGTCCCAAGAGCGAGCTGTTCCAGAGCACGCAAACAACCGGTGTGCAAACACGCCGGGCAAAACGAGGAGAGGGGGATTCCCTCCCGGCAAAATTCGGCCCAACTCCAGGGAAAAGTGCGCAGGTCTGAACCAGGAAGCGACCTGAACCAGCACACAGAAGGAAGCCGCTCTGATCCTGGAGAAGTTTAGAGCTGGCCCTTCCCACCCGGGTTACGTGAGCATCTATGCCTGGATCTGGAGCTTCTCTGCCCAGCCTTAGAATACCTGAGCGTGCCAGAGTTTAGGGCACCTGGGCAGCCGTGGGGAACAGAGAGAGGAAGAGGTCTGCCCCAAGTCTGGGAAGCTGAAATTCAGTCAGAGGTGGCAGTTACGAGCCGAGTCGATCCACCGAGCATAAACCCTAATCTTACGGGATCTTTCTGTCGCAAGCCTGCCTACGAGCCTGCTTATGACCAGGATCAAAGAGGGTTTAATCCAGAGGCCGGGGGCACCAGCCTGCTGGGAGAGGAGATCAAACCTTTAGAGCGCCTAACTGGACGGCGCTGTTAGACCGCTCTCTCCAGCCCACCCCCCCCAGAAGCAGCGGATTCCCTCCGAGGCAAAACGACTGGAAGGAAAAAGAGCATTCAACGGCATTAACCCGGTAACAGGCAACAGCCTTACTTTTCATCGGACTGCTCTGCAATCAGAGAAGCTATCTTGTTTTCCTTCTCCTCCTGCTCTTTCAGCAACCTGCACAAGAGAAAAAGGACGGATGGAGTCACCTACCGCGAAGGTGTTATCGCCCAAGCCACTAATGCCGCCGGTCCCACGTTCAAACCACGTACGGGCCCAGCTGTGCGCCCAACGTAACAACGCTCTCCGAAGACTGCGCCACTCGACAAACGTTTGAAAGCAACCACTAACATCCTCCAGGGCGAAAATTCTGCTGTATCACGGTACTGCACATGGCATCGAACCAGAATCCACCACAGGGAGCTGTGCTGCTCTGACAATACCTTCACTCAGGGTGAAACAGGGGCCGAGTACTTGGAACCGTTACTAAAGGAGCTTTATCCAAGGACATCACCGAGCCCTCGGGATAAAATCAAAAATCAGACCGCTACGACGTGACAGAACGGCTCTGTAAAAGCGCAGACTCACCATCCAAAGGAACCTTCAGATCTTCACAAACAACTCGCACCTTGCTGGCGTCAGAACACACGCACACACACCCCCCCCCGCCCCCCGAATCCAGAGAGATCCTTTGCACAGAGCACGCGGCCTGTCTGACGGCAAAGCCTGACGGCAGCAGTCAGTCTTTCAAAGCACCCGGTGTACGGCGTAGCCGAGCAGCCTACCGAAACGGGCAATTTTGAGGAGAACAACTTGGAAAGGCCAGCGAGACCCTACCCCTAAGCGCTGACCCGCAGCACAGCGGTCCCGCGGAAAGGCTCTGGATTCTGAGACGGCAGCAGACAGAGCTGAGCTGCCCGTTATCCTTGCCAAGTGCTGTCCCCGCCTACACCTAACGGGCAAAGCGACAACCCGCCGCCCCAAAATTCACGTTGGGATCTTCTGCGGAGACAAGCTGCTCTGCCTGTGGCAGATCCATCCAAAACCGTAGAGGTCTGGCCTGAGCTGCTCGCCAAAACACTCGCTGCTTCCAAAAAGCGTAAAGCGATCCTCTTTCGCTTCCTCACGTACACGTCAGGGTTAAGCTGTACCTTTTCCCCCGAGAAAACCCTCCGCTTGCTTTTGCATACTAATACCTTCTGCCTTTCTCACAGAGTTTCTCAATTTCTGCTTTCAGATCCTGCTCTTTCTGCAAGAATTCTTTCTTCTCTTTCTCCATCTTCTTCTTTGTCTCTTCTCGCTTGATCGTCACATCCTGAATCGCTTTCAGGATCTCCTAGAGCAAAACAAGCATCACACAAATAAAGACCAAAATTCCCAAGTAACGGTTTTGGTTTTAAATCCATTATTATTTTAGATTAATCGAAGAGAGATTATGCGATTACACGCGTCATCAAAATCTTTCTTTTTAGTAGATCCAGACGAGATATACAGCAGCTGTTAGGAGGAAACCCAGGAGACAGGCAGACGGTCTAAACCGCGGGTTCTCCTCTCTCTTTAGAAGGATTTCAAGCGGCAGGGAGTTCTGCTCCGGTTTACACCTAGCCGACGGGCCACCGATGGCTCCTTTTGTCTTGAGGAGCGGGTCACCGTAGGGCCAGCTGCCAACCACCCGTTTAACCTCACCATCTGTGAGCGACGGCCACAGAGACCTAAGTAATCACACGGACCTAATTCCCCTCACTCCACACCCGTTCTCATCCGGAAAAAAACGCCCTGCTTGTTGAGGAGACGTCGCGGCGTCCCTGGCAGGAGCGGACGTGCACGCGGGACGGCGGGTTAGGCATTAGTTCTGAACTGCTCAGCACCCCCATTTGGGCGGGGGCCAGCCCTCAGCGCTGCAAAATAGCGCGGTACACGAGAGAAACCACCGCTTCTCACGGCCCGCTTTGCTCCCCGCCGTGCCCCTCCGCGGCCCACCTTAACCGTGTGAGCGGCAGCGCCAACGGGCAGGTTAAACGGAAAGGGGACGGCGCCGAATACCTGGTGGTTCTTCATCTCTTCTTCCCTCCGCTGCTGGAGCTGCTTAAGCTGTACCTGCAGCTGGTTCTCCACTTGCCTCTGCTTGTCCAACACCTCCTGGTAGCGCTCCTTCAACAAAGCCCTCTCGGACATCATTTTGTCCTGCAGCGGAGGGCGGAAATTTAGGGAGAACCTTCCCCCTCCCGCACGCTAAAGGGCGCGCGGACAGGGGCAGGAAAGCTCAGCAGCGCCTCAGAGCCCGGTAGGTTCCACTGTCAAAGAGCCACAGACGACA